TGCAGACAAGAGAGGAGGATGAAAGCGTACAAGAAGACTGAAGGCGAGGCAAGACGAAAAACAGCTTTCAAGAACAGGCAGGATGAAAAGATGACGAGAGGATGGTAATTCAAAGTGCTGCAGATCGGTGGAAAAATCTGAGTGGAAAGGGGGTGAGTGAATTAAGAAATGGATGAATAAATAAAAGGAGCAGGAAGAACGACGTGTCTGAACAAGAGAGCAAATGAATGATTCAAAGAGTGCAGGAAAAGGGAAAACCTAAAACAGAATGATTTATTTAATCATCAGCTCTTATTTTTAATGGAAAACAGTAAAGCAGTATTAAAAGTTAGTGGCCAAAGTTCCTTCATGTGGTAGAGCAAGTAAAAAGAGATCAAACCCATTAGAAGTTCATTATAAACTCGTATACGGGAAAGCTTCAGGTTATTTTGACTGGTTTTAATAAAAACTAAGTGAGTGTGGAAATGTAAAATAAGTTAACTGTCCACCAGCTATGTCAATAATTCACACATGAATTTCAGAAGTAACATCAGCCTGACACCTAGGAGATTTATAACTCAAGTGAGGGAGAGAATATGTTTAATGCAGAATCAGATTATATAACCTAATTTTACCTCCAGGTCTCCTTTGGTGATGCATGCTTCTTCCACACGAAACTGCAGGTCTTCCACTTTTCTGTCAAACAAGGACAATAACAACATTTCCTCACAGTGACAGTGACCCATAATAAACAGTTTCACACCTGTTGTCCACCGCTCTCGCCACCTAACGGCATCCATAAACGGTTTCATGTGCAGGCCGCAGGTGAACCACCCACCTCTTCTCCTCCTCCAGCTGGTTGAGCAGCTCCACTTTGTCTCGATCTGCTGCCTCCACCAGAGAACGCAGCTGGTCCAACTTTGCTTCCATCTCCACCGCATACTATAAGAAAGACACCCAGCATCGTAGACGTTTAGACCACGCTTTGTTCCGCTATTCATGGTATCTTTAAAATGTTGTTGGGAATTTACTTAAAATTTCTAGATTAATTCAACTGACCATGAAGGTCACCTAAATATACTGTATACTCGACAGTGGAAAGATTAACCAGGACAGTTTTGGTGAGTTTTACTTTGTTCTGTCCACTTTGAATGAAGTTACTGTACGGTAAAATTTAAGTTTTTGTCAGTGGAGTCTTTTGTCATCTAGTCCAAAACTAGATAAAAACCTTTACATCAAAGTCATGTTTCCTCACCAATTTACAAATTTACATCCAATATTCAGGTTTTGTTGTGTTGAACAAACATAAAAAGTCAAGAATAAAAATGTGAAATTTCAAGTATTTCATAAAAGCTTTTAGGATCACAAACAATAGGGTGAGTGATTTTTTTGCTGTGTTCTTGTTCAGATATCATCCACGAGTGCACGTATCTGACCTGATCCCGTCCTTTCCTCAGCAGAGTCAGCTCCTGCTGCACCTCTCCTGCGTGGCTGGTCGCCTTTGCAACCTCACATCTCTCCAGGTCTCTCTCTGCGAGCAGCTGCTCAATGTGCTGCTGCTTCTCCTTCAGAGCCTCCTGCAGCGCCGTGGTGCCAGAAATCTTCCGGGCATACCGAGCAGACGTCTCTGTGAGCTGCAAGGACACACACCGATAGATACATTCATGCATTTAACAGTCTGTTTGTTGTCGGACTCTCCAGACCGAATTACGACCAGTGTTTAAACTGTATCAGAGGTGCTTCAGGTCTGGGGGTGGCGAAATATGAAACAACATAATAATAAGGTTAAGGTGCCAGAAAAACAATAAAATCTGATTTAACATGAGTCTCTCTCTCTCCATATTGAATCACAATATTACCTGCTAGAATAATTTCATTCAAAAAGTCAATTTGCTTAGATACACTGATGTGCAACCACAAGCAAAACGAGGCCCCAGTGTGCAACCCAGTCTCCTAGAAATGATGTTTATATACTACTGATTTGTTTTACCTGATAGAGGGAACTATAACTGCTACGTGTGTTCAGTTCAGTGGAAAGACCTTTTTGTACACACGTCATAGGGACGGGTAGAGAGGCTGGGGTTAAAACCCTGAGTCCTGCGTGTGGTCAGGCAAAGATTGTGGTTTCAGCTGGCTGATGGGAATGTCAAGTATTTGGTAAGAAGTTAATGTTTTGACTGGATGATTACACTAGATGGAAAGTCAGAGAATCACCAAAGTCTTTACAATTCACCCAGAGGGGCACATGAATTATTAGCAATCCATCAAATTGTTTTTGAGACATTTCACTCAAAACTCTAACTATGAACCTCATGGTGACGCTAGAGGGAAACTCAGGGGATCACTAAAGTCAGTGGGATTCATTGTCTGGGGATCGTGAATGTCTGTACAAACTTTTACGGTAATCTGTCCACTAGATAAAAAGTCATAGTCTCAGAAGATATCACAGTATAACGGTATTACACAATTATTATTACTTTGGTTGAAGAAACACTTTATTATAATTTCACATGTCCTATATTTTTTTCAGTAACACTGATTTAATACTGTAGATTTTTTGATAATCATCAATTTTCATACCATGGTACCGCTGCAACCCTAGGTGCTACAAGCTTGTGTTGTATTGCTAAAAGCAGAAATTATAGGGAAACTAATGAAATACTATAAGTTGCCATTGACAGTTTTATAGATACGCTCAGTTTGAACATTTTGTGACCTGACAAATACGACTATTCAAAATGTTTCCTTATCAATAATGTTGATCATTCAGGTAGTATTACGTTTCTCTCACATGTACTTACTACTGTAATTTCTAGGAGACAGAGCTGCAATGTGTCATGTAGTCGTACGGTCAGCAGACTGCTGGACAAAACTGTCGGTTAAAGAACTTCTGAGGGAAAAAGAGACTCGACTGAGACTCAAAACATATTAAAAAAACTCAGATCTCATTCAGGAAATAACCAGAATACTCAAAACTTGAAGACGAGTTTTCAACCTACGAAGAGACAACTTCAGCTATGACTAAGAGGAAGGTTTAGGGTTGGAGCAGCGTGAGTCTTACCAGTCCTGCTCGGCTGGGTTTGCCGCTGATTGAGGAGGTGGCGGAGCTGAGCGAGCTGATGGAGGAAGCGCTCGGGCTCCTCTTGAGAGTGGACCTCCTCCGTGAGCTCTTGGCCTTGGTAGGCGTGGTGCACGGGAAGCCAATACGCGTCACCTTGTGGACCGGAGCAAACAGACCATACCTGGGCAAGCACTGAAAGTATCTGAGAGGAAAGAGAAACGTTGCTTGTACGATCGTATTACAACAGATATTTAATAATGGTCCTTTGTCAGTGTTCTTTACCTGGTCCCTGCTACAGCTCCATCATTCTTGCCAAGTGGTTCATCCAGTTCCACTCCACACCAGTCTCCTTTGGCAAAGTCAGTCTCTCCCAGAAACCGCACCACTCCCGCCTTTGTACCACCAACCTACACACACAAAAAGAAACAAGGAGCAAGTTCGATTTACAAGCGTTCTTTGTTTCTCTATTACAATTAAAGTTAACGCTCTGTACATACGGTGTCCAATGGTGGATTGAATTACCCACTCATCCAATATTTACTGTTGAACAGTTAACACCCGGGGGCAGTTAGGAGTTAGTAAGCATATACTTCACTTAAGTGGAGGAGAGTTTGGAAAACCATCACAAGAGGGTGCATTTATAATTATGTTAACAGAACATCTTCTCTTCCTCAGAGTTTATGCCAGATGTTGTTGACATCTCCGCGTTGTGAACGATTGCAGGGTTTTTGTTTAAATGTATTGTGTTTGCTCGTGTCTGGTGTAGTTAATAAATAACAAAAACTAGAAACACTGGGCCTCATTCAAGACTCATTTATGTCTTAATCTCTTCCCGACTGCAGCTGGCCTCATCAACAAGCAGGCATTATTAATGTATTATTATATTAGGTCTCATTAGGCACAATCCAGCCTCCTTTTCATTTAAAAACAGATATATTTTACATATTTTTTATTATAGATATCTATTTTATATTCAGGATTCTTGACTTGCACTACTCATTTATTTTTTCTTATCTATTAGTATGTTTATTGTGACTGTTTTGCATCAAAAGACCACGTCTGTTTAAAAACCTACTTCACAACAAAGCTGATTTTTATATTCACATTTTTTCCTCGTATGTATAATTTTGCATTAGACCATAATGTCTGCTGATGTCTGCTGATATTCAACAGCGCGACTTCCAGCTTCAGCTCTTCTTTTTCCAACTGCTGTGTTGGGTTCAAACACACGAACGTCTCACCAGCACTCGGTCTCCCAGCCTCAGCTCCCTCTTGGTCTTCTTCATGGATTCGGTGTCTGAGAGGTTCGACACGGACTCGCTGGACGTGAGCATTCGGTTGAGTGCAGTCTTTATGCCGGTGCCCTGAGCTGAACAAAGAAAACCTTTATTCAGTATTCTGATGTGAAATCTAGCTGTTGTTCTGTATGATCACTGATAAATGTGTTACCAGTTGAGGTAGCAGCAGGCGCAGACTCGCTCGGCGCAGTGGTTCCTGGAGCTGGACTGGGCCCCGGTGCTGGACTGGCCCCTGGTGCTGGACTGGCCCCTGGTGCTGGACTGGCCCCCTGGTCGCTGGACTTGGCCCCTTGGTGCTGGACTGGCCCCTGGTGCTGGACTGGCCTGCCTCCCGTTCGCCTCCTTCTCCGGCAGCGCAGTCTTGGAGAGCTTTGAAGGCCGTGTGAAAATCCCCCTCCCATCCTCGCACTGGAAGTACCGGACCCCCGCCACGGACCCGTCGTTCTTCCCGATCGGCTCATCCAGCACGATCCCCGCCCACTGCCCGGGAGCGAACTGCGTGCCCCCGATGAACTGCACATAGCCAGGCTTGTTGCCGTTGACCCAGACCCTCTCGCCGATCTGAAAGTCCGCACTTCCCTCCTGAGTCGGGGAGGTCACGCTGCCGGGGGGCTTCTCGGGAGGAACTGGCTTTGGAGTACCTGCAATCACAATCATACCTCTGTTCACTGAAGACCAACTACACAGCAACAGGTTTGTAGATTTTAATACATGATCCCTTTTTATACCTTTAACAAAATAAGCAAAACTTTTTAAATGCGCTGTTTTCAGACGGGACAGCTGGGCAACAGCGGTTTGATGACTAAAAAAAATGAAAAATACAGCTTAAATTACAGTGAAATGATTGTTTAAGATCAAAGAAGAAGTAAATAAGACTAATAATGTGAGCCAGTGATGAAAACTTCTAATACTTGACAGTTCTTTTGATACTAAAGTGCTAAAGTTTACTCAAAAACTAGTTTGAACAGAATTCCCAACAGTGTCTTTCTGTACATAAATATTGATGAACCATATAACAATTAGCTAAAGAGTGATATTTACACAGTTTTAATCTCTTAAATTCGACACCCTGCTGTGGTTTCAAACAGCCTAAATAATTACAAACAGCACAACTTACCGTCTTGCGTTCAGAGCTGCATCTCTTTTCATTAGAGTTTCATTTTTTACACACTAATGTTCTCTTGTATTTTCTGTTCAGGACTAATTGTTGTATGTGTGAGCGGATCCGCCAGTGTCACTGTAAAACTAAAAAATACTTATAAAATCAAAATCATACAGTAAATTATCTCCTTCATTTCTTACCAGAAGATGGAGACGTCTTCGATGGCACCACCGATGGACGGACTATTTTACTGGGGGGTTTGAGCCCGCTGACCTTGCCTGTAGTACTCATGGTTCCTTGTTTGTCCGCGGGTTAGGGGGGACCTGGCCTGATCGAGGTGGGGGACTCGGCCTTCCCCACCACCCCACAAAGTCCCAATGCGATGGGAGGAAGCTGGAAAACCAAAGAAAAATGAATGAATCGAGTACAGTGTGCAGATGTTAGAGCTGTGGGAGCGTGAAGGGGAGGTTGGAGGGATTCAAGCTCGTATAAAAAACAATATCAGGCACAAACTCAAATATATAAACCTTCTACAAGCAAGCATGAACGTTGGGAAGAAGAATAATGTGTCTGTAGTAGCTGGTTCTCACATGTGAGTGTGTCTGCAAGTTGATTTCATTACAGCTGATTATTTTCCCAGTTCATTTGAGGATTTATTGGGTCTCTAAAATGTCAGAAAATGAGTAAAAATGAGTAAAAATGAGTAAAAATGATGCCTTCAGATGTCTGTTGTGTCCAAAATCCAAAGATATTCAATTTAAAATGATAAAAAAGAGAATTTTATGGCTCTTTTGCTCAAAAAAACAAAGATTAATCAAACATCAAAACCGTCTCCGTTTCATTTCGTGTCGACCAAATATCTGACTAATAAAAATCCACTTTTATTAACCGTCGTTCCACTGGAGTCCACCCATAACGTGACTCAACCGTGGTGTAACTACATCCTCCTCCTGTATGTGACAACCAGCTGTTTATTAACACTCGTGCAATAAACGTAATGTCCGGCCGAACCTTAAAAAGTCTCTACTGTGTAAGTCCGAGTCTCTGCCACGAAGTCAGATGCCTTTGCTCTTTTGTAGGTGTTGGCGCTGCCGCTCCGACCCGGCTCCCACTCTGTTCATAAAGCAGACGATTCACTGAGTGCTGCTGGGTCAGGACACACATTATGTTTCAACACTTAGAGGTCCAGTGTGTGTCCGGCCAACTCCTGCTCCGTTAAGACTGCTCCGTTGACTGTGTTCGACGCAGCAGAACCGCTGAAATCGTCTTTTTTATTCCTCGTTAAAACCTACAAAGCAGAACTTCGTAAAACACAAAACTGGTGCACATTCTGCCGCACAGTGCCGGGAAGTGTATTCTCACACAAACCCGCTCGCTCTCCAATACATGCTCCCTGAAACTCTTGTTTTATTCATTTATTTCTTTACTTTGCTTGTTTGTTTGTTGTCTAATTTTAACGTTGGTCTCATTATTACTTATGTTTTTAGCCTGCCTGTCTTCACCTTGTGTTGTTTTGGATGCTGTGACCGGTCCGTTTCTGCTGTTTTTTCTTTTTTTGTCTTTGCAGAAGAACTTGTTCAATAAAAACTGATGTTGAAACCGAAGGAAAACAACAAAAGAAAACACTACCCAAAGAAACCCCCTGCAGCTGAGCGAATCCGTCAGCGTTGTTTGAGTCATCGATTATTTCGCTTTTGTTTAGTTATTCAAGCATTAAAGTCGACATTATCACACTCAAACAATAAGAGCATGTTATGTGGATTGTTTTTTTTGTCTTGTAATTATTATGTGTTTAACAAGGATGATCAGTAACGGTGGATCAATAGTA